ATGACGTTCAATTGAAAAATGCTGTTCGGTGGATTCAATTTGTTTGGTCTTTTTATGTGCTGCCCCTTTTGTTGACATACAGCCCTCCCCTTGGGTACAGGCAGAGTATAATGATGGTATAATGGGAGAGGGCTGTAAAGAGGCCGGTGTGGTGGAGGCCTCGGTGCGCGGCAGACTGGCAGTGCCTGGTGATAAGAGGCTGCGGCCTGGATGGCCTCTCTGAGGGGAAGTGATGCAAGACAGTAGTTCTTTGTTTCGTGGCATTACTTGGTCCCGTGCCAGTGGCCCTGCTGAATGAAACGGACCGGTTGGCTTGTTTGCTGGCTGGGTGACTGGCTTCATGGTGGACAGGCTGACTTACCGGTAGGCAGGCAACTGTGGCACTAAAAATCGTAGCTAATCTCTCTTTTCTCCTCTTCTTTCTGTCTTTCTTCCTCTCTCGCCTCCTTGGACTCAAAGGAACACTTAAGCCGTGAACTGAGTAATATTTTTTCTCCAAAAAGGAAAAAAAAACATCACCACAGGGCCTGGTTTTTGAGTGGAAATGAAAACTATTTGAATGTTTCACATTAAATGATTTAAATTGAACATTTACGGCAGTCATTGACCGTTTTATCACACATATCTTAAAATCAGACCAACTTCCTAGAATCCTGAACTACCGCTCCTCCTTCGCTCCCTGTTCTCCTCCTCCTCCTCATCTGTCCCGGCAGCTCCTGCACCTCTCCTCGCTGCTTTCCCTGCCACTTCCTGAGTGTTGAAATGTGTGTTTTTCCTGCAGCTGAAGCCGTCCTGTCACACTTAGGTTCATTTTACTTTTGAATTCCACAGAGGAAAGAGGAGGAGGGGAAAGGGAGGGGGGGGCACAGGAGGAGATACCGTGTGTGTTTCTACATCTGTTGCCTGTGTGTGTGTGTGTGTGTGTGTGTGTGTGTGTNTGTGTGTGTGTGTGTGTGTGCGTGCCTGGTGAAGCATTCTGCAGGTCTAAATGTCAGGGGTTCCATTTTCAAACACTGTGCACTTGCCATTGCTGCCTCATATAGAGTATGAGCTACATTACAGACGAGCATTAGGATCACTCTCCAAATGCGAGCGAGCACACGCACACATGCAAACACACACACGTGCTTATATAACACATAAACTAGTTTCCACAAACCTGCCATCATCAACCTGATCCAGAGTCACCTGCAGGTAGACAACCATGTCTCCATTTCCATCCACTTTTCAAATTAAAAGTCAAATAATCACACGTCACACACTGATATGTGTGTTTACATATTTGTTCTTTCAGTAAGTTTGGTTTAAATACTTTTATAATTTTTCGATGCTATAAGAGTGTAAAAGTTGCAGCTGAGACTGACTCACGATTGGTTGAGCATGTGTATTCTCAGGACCTCAACATCAGGATTGCTACTGCACAGACTCCGGCTAAATTATGTCAAAAGCACAAGATGGCGGCACCCGTCTCCAGAATGTTCTGGCTTCATCTGTGTACAGCAGGAGGAAGTGGAGACATGTTGTCCATCTTCATTTACACTCTACGGCCTCAGCTTTGTGAGTGAGGATTTCTTTTCCAAACAATAACAAACTAAAAGAATAAAAAGACAAATTGTCACATATGGTGCTGATCTATGTTCCCACTGCTTCATGTCTGTTGGTTTGGGTCAGTTGCCTGGTCTGACATTTTGTAGTTTGATCCTACAAAAGCAAAAATTTGTCTCATGTTGTTATCTAATTCTATCAAAGACAGATGGACAGTGTTACACTTTGTGTTTATGAATTAAACAAATCAAAAATGCGGCGAAAGGAAAAGAAAGAGAGGAAAGTGTATGTGTGAGCATGTGTGTGTGTCTGGGGGTTGTCGCTGGTGCAAGGGGGTTTGGTTGAGCACTACACCAGATGTGAAAATGACTTTTGCAATATGTCATCTAAACAGCAAACTGCAGGGGATTTACTTGAGCTAACTTGATGCACATAAGTGCTGGAAAGTCAAAACTACAGTTAGCTTCTTGAAAACTCTCAAATGGATTCCGAGACCAGCTGAGGGGAAACATTATTCATTGCAGGAAACGGGCATGTGGTTTTCCCCCACGGCCGCTGAGCATTAGTCTAACACATGTTGCATTTAACGCGAGATTCGCGCTGCAAAAAAAAAATTGGTGCCTGCTCCTTTAAGTGGTATCTCGGATCATATCGACGCACTGCGATACGGTGTCTTAGCATCTTCACAATACAAGTTCTGCCAGTTGTGAAACGTGGAAGATAAGAAAACAAACATGAGATGGTCAGAAGTCAGATTATGTCACTCAGAGGGTGCACCTGAGGATCCTTTTTGTTCTGTGTTATCACAAACCAATGGCTGCTTGCAGCGGGCACTCATACATACAGTCCAGCACACACACACACACAGACACACACACAACACACACACACTTGTTCCACGTGTCCTAACTGGAACAAAGTCCCATCCAGCCTGAGGGCCTCTGACACACTTGTGCAGAGTGAGATGTCCCCTCTGTTGCTGTGTCCTCTTCTTAGTCTTCCTATACCATCGCCTGTCTTTTTTGTTTTTCACTTAATTAAAAACCTGTTTAGAAATGATCTAAGTTGTATTTCCATGTGTGCATTCACATAAACATTAGGATTTGCATTTGCAAGAAATTACCAGCAGAATGGCGATGTTTGGCCTTAACAACAGCTGATGTGTGTATGTGTACTGGGTGTGACGACCTTATTATTGACATTGCACAATAATTCTGCGAATGCAACAGCGAGCAACAGTCATCCTCCTAACACTGTTTGGCATAGTTAAAAGACATGGGGCGACGGGATATCATCGGTGTCCCATAACAAGTGGAGGTCAGGTTTGAGGTGATATTCTTTGCTGTCAAATTGTGAGAGAGAAAAGAGACAGTAAACATTAAAAACTATGAAATGTGAGTTTTGTCCACTCTCCTGCTGGTGTGTGTTGTGTTGTCTCTTGTGGTAAATTCAGCCTGTTCTTGCAGAAGGCCAAACCACAGCACAAATAATTATTTGCATACACAGGCTTTGACCCAGCTCTGGTTCCTCAGTGAATCCAGCCTGCCATAATAGTAGCTGATAATAAATGGTTTCCTCCTCACCTGCCTGTGTCGAAGCTTCCTGTGTTGATGATATATATGTGGCGGAGTGGGGTGGAGATGACAATGTAGGTGTGGAGGAAGTCGAATGCAGGTGTGTGTGTGTGTGTGTGTGTGTGTGTGTGTGTGTGTGTGTGTGTGTGTGTGTCCGTCCCAGGTGGGTGCTGACAGACCGGCAGGTAAACAGGCAGGTTGGTCTCTGATCTCACCTGTTGGAGCAGACACAGCAGCGCCTGCAGGGCCTCTGCAGAGGAAACTTGTTCTTTATGTGATGCTGGAAAAGCCAGATCAGCTCTTCTTTTCTTTTTCTCCTCTCTTATCTTATCTTCTTATTTCTCTCTCTTATCCCGCCTTTACTTGTTTATTTGTTCTCCTCTTCTCTGCTCTTTCTCTTTCTCTTCTCTATCTTTCCTCCATCTTCTCTTTCTCTTATCTGGCCTTTACTCGTTCATTTGTTCTCTTCTCTCCAGGTGCAAGGAAGGGGGTGGGAATGAGGGGAGAGAGAATGCCTCGGGGCAATGGCAGAGCAGGTGGGCTGGGACTTTGGGGGGGGGGGGGGTGACGACAGTGTTTGTGTGTGTGTGGTCTAGAATTGACTCATGTTGTGGGGACCTAAATCAGTTTACACACCTTGCCATCGTTATCAATGTTAAGGTGAACACATGTTTTAGGTTAGGGTGTGGTTAAGTTTAGGTTGGGTGCGGTTAGTTTAAGTTTAGGGTATGGTTAGGTTTGGATCAGAATGTGGTTAGGTTGGGTTAGGGTATGGTTAGGTTAGGTTAAATTTGAGTTGGGGTATGGTTTGGATTAGGGTATGGTTAGGTTAAGGTTAGATTAAGGTCAGGGTATGGTTACATATAGGGTATGGTTTGATTCAGTAATGTTAGGGTAAGGGTATGGTTAGGTTTGCATATGGTTAGGTTTAGAGTTGGGGTTATGATTAGGCAAACAACAGTTATGGCCAAAGTTACAGTTAGTCTCCAAAATAAATGGTATTTCTCCTGCTCTCTGTTTTTCAGTTTGTGTGAAAGAGAGAGAGAGACAGCAGGAAGATTCTGTGCATGTTCCAGTTTCATGAGAGGCGCTTTGGAGAGACAGGAATGTTACACATCCAGATTAAAACAGACCACCCCTATAAAGGAGGAGGAAGTCAGTTTAACCCGTGAGCCAAACACCAACACACACAGCAGCCGTCGTGCACAGTCCCTGATATGAAGTCACCAGCATCTCACCACCTCGCGTCTCGCGTTACATCTCCAGAGGAAGTCTATGAATTATTTCCTGTTACTTATGTAATGTTTTCTTTTCAGTTTAAGGTCAGGCTGCTTTATTTGTCCGTTGCTGTGTTTTATAGACGATGATCTCTTCACACACACAGGAAGGGCCGGGGGACCTCAGGAAGTGGAACTGTTGATGTAAAACAACTAAAGCCCGGGAATGTTGATTTAGAGAGCGATTAATAGATAAATTAATCAGCATCTAGTGAGTGAAGTACATTCACGTGACATGTATTAGCAACTACACAGAAGTTTATAGTAGCTTCACCTGCATTTTCTGTCAAAAACAAACTTTGTGCAGCACCTTTACTGCAGGATTACATCTGATTTGTGCCATTTTAAGAATAAATAATAGAAAATCTTGCTTAATGTAGGCCTGGGTATAAATGTAATTATTCGAACTTAATCATGTAAATGACAGTTAACTCTTTTTTTTCCCGCATTCCCACTTATTGTGCCCATACCTGCATGGTCATTCTGGATTTTTTGTGTGTGTCGATGTGTGTGTGTGTGTGTGTGTGTGTGTGTGTGTGTGTGTGTGTAAAAACTCAAGAGTAAAGACACAACAGCCCGATATATTTAACAATATATATTTCCATTGTCAATGTACATTCCATTTCGACATAAGCTTTCTTCACAAACAAAAAGTTGGCATCTAAATAAATACTATATAAAATAGAACTTCAAAATAAATATATCTATAAAGGGAACCTTTTATATGAGAGATTTTTTTTTTCTCTTTTTGTTATATCTAAACAAAACAAATGCACAGATCTCGTTTCTTAATCCCCAACGTTGACATTGCAAAGGCAGAAAGGAATGGAGTAGCATCACCCAGCTGTATGAGACTTTTCCTCTTGTTCAGGTTGAAACAAAAAACCCATCCGTGCTCACAAATGAGCAAAACAAAGGAGTTGTGTAAAAATCACAGCGTTGTAGCAAAGAAATGAAGAACAAAAAGTTTTTTTATCATTGAGTTGTTGTCGTCTGTGATTCTTCCACACCCTGAACAGGCTAGTGAGCACATGTAAAAAGTATAAATCTAACATGAAGTGAAAAACATTATTCTTTAGCGGTGACAGATCTGAGGAGTTAAAGAAAAAGAAAGGCAGCGACTGTCAAGAAAAGAGGTCCACTGGTTAAAAAAAGATGGCACTAAACACAACTCGAGAGAGAGAGAGAGAGAGAGAGAGAGAGAGAGAGAGAGAGAGAGAGAGAGAGAGAGAGAGAAAAAACAAGAGGCAGAAACCAGCGAGAAAGGGAGAGAGACAGACTTGTCTTTCTCTCCCGGCTCTGTGGTATGACAAGTTTATGCAGAGCAGCTGTGTTTGTCAATCAAGGCCAGGGGTGTTTGTTGGACAATTTCTCAGGGAGGAAGGAGAGGGACCCGAGGAAAAGAGAGGGGGGGAGGAAGAAAACCAAGGAAGAGAAAGAGAGGGGGAGAGAGCTGAGATATTGAGCAGTAACAGCAGGAAATGGGTTGATCCAGATTGCGTTCCCTGTGTGGATTCAATGAGTCCAGAGTCTTTGGGACTCGGAGAGGAACCAGGGAATTAGCTTAGCCTCTCGACTGCTAATGAGCCATGGATAGCATAAACAGCAGGATTTTTTATTTAGTTTTTTTTATTGCCGGGTACACTTTTCTAAATCAAGTGCTAGTGATAGAAAGACTTGTCATTTTTGTTCCCCCTCCCCAGACCATCCTCTCGCCACCTTCCCTCTTTTTCTTTTTCTCATGACCTCAAAAAACATCTTTATCTTACCCTCAAAATATATATATCTAATATATTCTCTACATATTTTGTACTGAATTGTAGTTATAATGTACCATGCAATCTTTCAAGGACATTTAAAAGTCTCTTCTAAAGAACACAAATGTTGTGAAACTATTTACAGCAAATAACATTTCACCTGCATAGCTCTATTACTAAATATATTGTCAAAACATTTGTGATTTTTGCTGCCCACCTACAAACCGGGCGTTTGCCCAGTCACACAATCATTCTCAGTTTTGGCACCTTTCTCTCAGACTGAATTGCTAGGTTTGAAAATATTGCCTCATACATTCAAGACTAAGGACAGTTTTTCTTTCCTTTTTTAAAAATCCTGTGTAATATCGACTTTGTGCAACAAGACAAATGTGGATATGAGCACATTCGGTGCCCGAATGGAAGTTTAGGGTCCAACGTGAAAGAGAGGTGTGTTACAGAGCATAAAAGGGCAGTATGCCTTTATGCCAAACAGAAAAGGCCATCTATATTAAAGGGCAGAGTGCCTTTAAGAACCAACTGCCGTCATCTCCCATTTGGCAAGAGTGCATAACAACTGTGATCACTCAGACAGCGAAAACATGCTACTGTACGCTAGCTTTCCTTTGGCAAAGTCCTCAGACCGTCATGCAAGCCACAAAAATAGACTTTGAGAATAAAAGATAGACTATCTGACTAATGCAGCTACGCAGCATAATGATTAGAATTGAATGAAGACACTGTGTGTAAGGGGAGGCTGGGGTGTGTGGGCTAAATGTAGTACACGCCAATGTAATGTGAGATAGCTGAGGTGGTTAATACTGTGCTTTAGTACATCCTTTAAGGGGTTTGCGTCGTCCTAAAAAGGTTGTGCAAGTGGCAGGTTTGATTTCGACAAAGGCTGAATAGATACAACACAACAACAACAACTTTTGCTATGCCTTCTCTCCCCCTCGTCACTCTCTATAACTTGCATCCCCCCTCACTCCTCCGGAAACACTATTTTCTGGCCAGTTTGTCTCTCGCTTAGCTTACTTGTTTTAAATTATTCAGTATTGCCTTTTTGCCCCTAAATGTTTCTTTGCCATCTTGTGCAAAGAGGAAGCAGACCAGGCTCTTAGGCAGTTTAGAAATCAACATGCAGTAGGCCAAGTTCTAGAGAGGATTACCGTAACAGTCCCTGAGAAGGTTGGGTGTTTTTTTTTCACACGTTTCTCTACGACACATCAACTTCTAGCACGGTGGGTAACCATTACACTAGAGCATGCAGGTCATGACATGCATTACCTCTGAGGTGATTGGTGAACTGCATTCAAAAACTTTTAGAATGTCTGTGCTTCATCCCCCCAAAATCGGAAACACGCTGTAAAGTGATTATCTCTTCTTCACTTGCAGTGCGACTGCTTGCACATGGCGCAGAGTGAGAATTATGGGAAATTACTATTATTTTAAAGTCTCAAAAAGTTAGTTTTTACAGGCCCTCCATGGAGATTAAGTGTTAACAATACCAAGCTAGCATATTTAAGGTGTCAGAGGAACAATAGTGACACTCAGAGACGGTGATCATCATAACAGCAGAGAGAGTAAGTGAATAAGTGATGGTTTCACTTCTGTCGTGACCTATCGTGAAGCCACGATATAGGTAATCACTCTTCTTCCTGTTTGTTCAGACGGGGGGGGGGGGGCACAGGGCTGTGCTTTTGGGGGTGGTAGGGGTTGCACATATTATATTTTTCCGTCACATAACCTCTATGTTATCCAAGGATCTGCAACCAGCTTCTGTTTAGTTACCAATACAAAATTTGCTGAGAAAATACAGAGCAGCAGAGAGGTACAATGACTTTTGTGCCTTCAGCCATCTTTGCACAACAACACAAACACCAGTCCCACAATCTCGTCTCTTCTTCTTGTGTCCCTCTTTCAAACAAACAAAAAAATATAACAAAACAACAATTAAAAAAAGGATCTCAGAGGGGCTGGTTAGCCATTTCAACTAGCCAACTCTCTCAGACCAGGCCTGTTTTGTTCACCACCCTGTCAAACAAAAAGCCATTTAAGTACCTTTGTTTTACATAAGTCATCTTCCAGCAGATTAATAGGGTAGTTTAAGGGGTTGGTGTTGGATTGTCCTATCCATAGAGAGCTAGCAAGTACTGTGTGGTCCTGTCCATTTTTAGCACGGCCAATGCCAGCCAGTTTTGTCCAGTATCATGACCCCTGCTGCTGCTGCTTCTCTAAAGTCCCAACTTTTGCTTCCACACCTCCGTTTTTACACACAGGGATGCTCACACCCCCCTGCAAGTTCTTGCAGCGGCAGCCGGGCCTACTAACATTGTCGTAACACTTCTGTCCCAGTTTGGCCAGGCCCGTGGCTGGAAGATAGCAGACCAGGCAAGGCAGGACAAGGGAAATGGCAGCCATGAAGGACCATCGCGCGCAGCAGTTGGCCTGGGAGCACGAGCAGGGCTTGTCGGCGCAGGAGCCCTCATCATCCTCATCTTCAGTACAGTGGTAGAAGATCCCTTTGACCAGGCACATGCAGGTGGCTGTATCTACCAGGCTCTGGGCAGAGCACAGGCACTCCTGGTTGCAGACCCAGCAAGAGGGTAGGGTTCTGGGAAGCGTACACTCTGTGCAGCGGCATTTCCCACAGTGCTCGCAGAGAAGGAGGTGCTTCTTCTCGGCTGGGGAGGAAGGAATCAGCGCCAACCCCTGCTGGCCACCAGTGGAGCACACACCTCCTGCAGGCATCTTTGCAGACTTGAGGTCCAGCGATTTGGAGGAGGAGGTGCAGGATGAAGCAGAGGAGGAGGAGGTTAGGACCTTAGATTCAGAGGAAGTGAAGCAGCCTGGAGTTCGGGCAGTGACTGTGTTGAAGGGGCCCTGGTAGGGGTGCAGGTTTGGGTTGTGGTCCACCATCGGGGTGGGTGCAGCATGGTCCAGCAGCCTTTGATCAGATGAGGTGCTGCTGCTGCTGCTGATAGAGCTGGGCCTCCCACTGAAGGAAATCCAAGGGTGTGTGGTGGTGTCTGGTTGAGGGTGAGGTTCGCACCTGCCCTGCTGGTGGTGCTGGTGTTGATGATTGTGATGCTGGTTGTGGTTTGCCCCCAGGAAGCCCTCCTGATTCTGACCGAGCCAGGTGATTCTTCTGTTTGTGGACTTCTGGCTCGGGGGCTGCTGGGACACAACAGCGGGGCTGTCTATGTAGTCATTCTCCACATGCGAGGACTTTATCTGGTCAATGGGGTAGATGGTGAGGGGGTGCTGAAGGCGGCCGTAGGGCACTCGACTGTCCAGCAGGGGCTGGGATATGAGGGAGGAGGACACTCCGGGGATGTGGTGGGGAACCCTGGACTCCATGTGTAGGCTGGTGCCTTGCACGTCTTCACTCTAAAGCAGCATTTAGCAATACTGCAAAGACAGATACAGAAGAGACAGTTACGACCGGCAACAATTACTGTTGTTCTTTATCCTTTCTAGCCTCTATTTTATAAAGGCTTTATCATAAGGATCAAATAATAAGTATATCATGAAAAGCATTTGACAGTGGGAAGTAAACTTGTGATCATTACTGAATGATTAGAACAACGTGTGCAGTACATGAACACTTTGCCTTTCTTAATTTGTCTTTGATCAAACCAGGTTAGGTCCAGATATGTCTTTAAAAAAAAGCTATGTGGATGGTTGGATTTTAAAGTGTCCTTTTCATGCTTGGAATACTTTTAATTTCCTGCTACATTTGAATTAGCACTGCTGATGAATAAACATTTATCTCAGGACTAATACTGACACATGATTGAGACTTTTCTCTGCATAAATCATGTGACGATCCAAGATCAACACTTCAGACAGCACGTTAAACTGACATGTATTTATATGTAAAACCCAATTCATCTAATTTTTTCAATGAGTTTTAGTCTCTCAACAGAAATCTTTTTTCTTTTCTTTTCCAGGCCGGATCTCGGCAATAATCTGAGTTTCCAACCGATCTTGATTTTTAGACTGAATACCAACAGGGTTTCAGACCTCCTCCATTCTAACTTTGACATTAGAACAATAGAAGTTGGGCTCTCATCGCCTCCCTTCTAAAGAGCAGGGAGCACCAGAGAGCAGGGCTTGCATGCAAAAGACTCAAAGATGCAAAACAAGGCAGAGCAAAGAGAGGCTGCCTGAAAAGGGGAGTTTGACAAAGAAGAAATGAACACAAGAGGCGAGAGGACATGAGGTCTTTCTACAGAATCTCACAGGAACATTAGAATAACTATGCACTGGACAGTATAATTTGCCTTTAACTATAGCTTTTGCACAATTTCTCTCTCAACACGTGAGGCCCACACAGTTGAATCGGTGTAGTAACGGACCAATCTGGGAAATTGTGAATGAAGCTGATTTTGTGAACTGCAGCTTTTTTGTGAATGAACGCTGCTGGCTGCACTCGGATTTGCAAGCATGAATCATTGCGCCCCAGTCGTGATGAGCCTAAATGAAATGGGTTTCATGCATTTCGTCAGTGAACGCTCGACAGCAGTCAAAAAAACATATCCTTTTTTTTTTACAGAAATCAAAACATATGCTTGAAGACAAAAGACGTAGAACATCTGGCGCATCTGCTGGCTTCAATAACCATATTGCCAAATATACGCCACAAAACCAGGTTTGATCGGATCATCTGATGTCATATGATCTTGATTATTCTTTAACTTCAACGTGTGCATTTTACGCACGTGAACCTATATATTGAGGGTGTATTTATATTTGAATCACTGCTTTTCATCTCTTTTTCTTATTCCTCAGATTTTGCAAACGCCTTATCTGGAAACCTGTTGCGACACTGAGCTGGCACCGACACAGACACTTGTGATCGTCAAAGGCTCGACCATTATGAGCTCAAAGTCGGAACTGTGCGCGTGCGAGCGCGCGTGTGCGTCCCTCCCTTCAATGTGTGAATGAACTGAGTCATAAAAAACCGGAGGCGGCCGCTCGACATACTCAAATTGCGTGTTTAAATAGGCTACGGGCGCTTGTAACGACGCATCCAGCACGTCGCTCTCGTTAGTAGTTTAACATGACAAAAGTATAAGGTTGGAAATAGAACACCGTGTGCCACCGACGGACACACGGATTGTGGGGTGGCTTTAATCGGCGGCGGTGAAGTGCGTAATTCTATGCGTAAAGCTGGAGGTTTTGGACATAATGCAGCGAAAATTGGCAGATTTGAGAAAATAAAACATAAGATTGTAATATATGAGGTGAAGAGGATAGGGACGGAAATTCTCTGAGTTAAAAGCACCTGACACAACCTACACGGTGAGGCAACCAGGCGGTCGCTGCAGAGCAAGGAGACACGCAACCAAACCACCCGGGGCGAAACATGTTGGAGCTTCAGATTTGGACAGATATGGAAACACTCGTCTGTTCCGCTGGCTCTTAACGTGCCACTGACTTTAACAGAAAACCTCAGTGTGTTCAAATCCACATTTGCTGCCAAAAGAATCAGCATTTCGATCATCTCTCCCCTCCACTGCGCACTCAGCCCTGCTCGTTGTGGTTAAATATTGACTGTGTGCAAACACGGTTTGAGAAGCAGCTCGTTGCAAAATAGAATTTACAAGCGCAGTTTTTGGTGCCTGCGATCCAGTGCGTTGGATACAAGGAGAGGGAGTGGGTTGAAGCGTACAGACAGAGAAGAGACGGAGCAGTCGTGTCTGTGCAGCCACACGCACAAGTTACAGACATTAAACCTGAAGAAGACACACACACACACACACACTGAAAGAGACGGGGGGAGATAACTTACTGTGGTTTCAGGATACAAATCTCATCTCTTCGTTGCGCACGACGTCTGCGCGCAGGTTATAGTCCAGTCCGAGCGAGCGAGTGAGTAGCTCCAGAGACGTCAAGCGAAGATTAGTCCAAATATTGAGGAGATAGATGATATGAGGAAGGTGCAGGCGAAGGGAGAGCGAGTCTCCGCCACTAATCTCCGCTCGCTGGTGCGTAAAATGCGACTGCGGTTGTGGACGCAGAGCTTTGGGTATGATGTTGCAACCACCGAGGGGGAGGGAAGTGAGTTTTTATGAATGGGAGGGTAGAGGGAAGGAAATGAGGGACTGGAACTGCGCAGATGCCTCGACCCCCCCTCCCCCCGCCCCTTCCTCTCTCACTCCCTCTCTCTCTTTTTTGTGAATGGGAGGGCAGAGCGACTCGGGAGGGCCGAAATGCGGAGGTTACATTTTTATGAATGGGGAGGACTCGCGAATGGCAATGCGCATGCGCGATGCCGAGATTTTTATGAATGGGAAGAAATGGCGAATGAGGTGTGTGTGTTAGAGAGAGAGGGAGAGAGCTAGAGGGGGGGTTAGGGAATGAGGAGATGGGGACTTTTATTGGTCACAAGGGCAATGTCAGGCCGGATTAACATAAAGAGTCGGTGCCACTCTCGCTTTATTTTAGCCTGTTCATTTATTTCTCCACGCAGCTCCCTGCTCAGAGACGCTGTGGATGTGAGTGAGCTAAACCTGCGGTGAATCAATTCATTCCTCCATCGCTGGCAAATCTCAAATACCCATTATTCTCTGATTATGGAGTCTTTACGCAAAGTGCATCTTGGGGGAACGTGGCCCAATAATACAAACCAGAGAGCTTCCCAGGGGCTAGTTCTCCTCATATAACCTATAATCAGTGAGTTCTTATCTACACGCGCCTCAGCTCGATCAGGATAAATAAGACCCTTCCTGTTGCTATCTAAAGCTGTTTATTGCGAACAAGGACGCGTCCTTCCTTCCTTCCTCCGCAACAATGTGAGGTATGACTATACAGCCTCTATGGCAATGTAAAAAAAAAAAAAACACAGAGGAGGAGGAGGAGAGGCAGGGGGGATGAAGTAGGGGGTATGGGGAGGGGGCAATAACGCCTCCTCTGAAACACAAACCAGCATGAGGGCAGGCAGGATTCACAAAGGGACAGGATGTTGTTGATTTGTACCGAAACCACACGGAGGAAATGAGTGTGAATTTCCTTTCTCTCTGACATCCCAGTGTGTGTGTGTGTGTGTGTGTGTGTGTGTGTGTGTGTGTGTGTGTTTCCCTGCTACCCCCCTCTCTGGGCTCGGGGCTTTTAACAAGTCAAAGGTTAACAGTTGCCCCATTATCCATTTGCACACATCACCATGGCAACCACTACACCTCCAAATTGGGATTACTGTTTTGAAGAAGGCTCCAGACAGAGAAGAGACACGCGAAGAAAGAGATTCATTTATTTATAGACACACATAAAAACCTATATATGGTTGAAAATAAATCATGTTTCACGAATAGAAATTGGAAATATCTCCTGATGAATAGCAGAAGATCAATGGAAACGAGCTCATTTTTATTGCATATTTATGAGCTTTGTGTTTTTTATGGTATTCCAATAATATTCTTATCATGTAACTGGGATATTCAAATGGGGATTTAAAGCATGATCTTATGAAAGTGCCACTTTTCTTGTTTAATATCTTTAAAAAATATATATATAATATAATTTAACAGTAGGTCAGTGAAACTAATGGTAGAGGATGTTGTATATTGACTGCAATCGCTTTTAGGGCAGATCAAAGACCTACTTTCTATTTTATCTTATAAATAGCACACATTTTGGTACATACATAAAAAAATGCATAATAAAACTATAAGTGAATAAAAGTGAAGCTAGTCTTTTGAGTTATATTAATTAAATTGACTTAGTTTTATACATAAACCCTTTTTATACAGTTTATATGGAATTAAAAACAACAGAATACATTTGAATGACTCTAAAACTGCAAATTTTTTAAATAGTATCAGTCAAAATCTACTGTAGAGTACAAAACAGTAAAAACGAGATGCAGGGACTTTATGCTTTTACCTTATGGGATCGTCTCAGTAAAAAGTGAGTGAAAGTAACTATTTTAAAGTTGTATTTTATTGTATAAAAGAGTGAAAGCTTTTTTTACAGACCCACAAATATATAAATCTTACATGTCAGCCTCTCTTTCCTTTTCCTAACATCTCACTCTCTCCCTCACACACACACACACATGCAGATGCACAACTGGACATATTCGCAGATTTCTGTCTGCAGCTGCGTGGCTTTCTGGCACGGCCTACACCAAGTGCTTGTTGAATTGTAGATTTCTAGTCGGTGTGATCATCTAGGCATACATGCACGGAAGGGAAGGCCTAGATTTCTCTCCAGAGTCTCCTCTCCTGGCCTTCCTTCCTGCCACATCTGCTGGCTGCTGCTGCGAGCATGGGATCATAATGGACAGCCCCATCTGCTACCAGAGCAGTTTCACATGCTAGATGTGAAAAGTTGCTTTTTTTTCATTCCCCCAGACCAAACTTAACAAAACTACATTATTTGTAAATTTAGAAAACAGCTTTTTCCTCTTTAGACACAGAGTAATCCACAAACATGTCAGTGAAAATCAAATTACAGAGTCAACAGCCCTTTTGTTTATCACTTAAGTCTATCACTTGATGTATTTCACTAATCTGTTGTTTTTCAGCCTTGTATTTCCTGACTGATCCCAAGACACAATACCTTGATAATGGCCATAATTGTGTGTGTTGGCAGAGCTTAAACGCAAATGCACAGTGATGGCTTTGCAGCTCGCTCTCAGCTTTACATCAAAAAGCTTCCTGTTGCAGGTAACCCCCCCCCCCCCCCCCCCCCCCCCCCCCCCACTCCTGACACGTCACAATACACATCTCTCACCTATTAGCAGCTGTAGTTGCAGGCCGAAACAGTTTGAGTGTCTTCAAAGTGAATTTCACACAAGGTCAACATGTTTCTCTGCTTCCTCACACAAAAATTGATCTCAAGAGAAACTGTTGGATTCTGGTTCATTGTATTTAAAGCACATACATAACATATAGTATACACATGGCCAGATTGTCCTCCTGAGGATTCATGTTGGAGTCACGTTTGACCCCTGAAGATGGCCGTGTCTTTATTTATTTATTTCCACAGGTACCAAGAGACTGAAGGAACATAACATTGACAGATTATGTCAAGGAAAATGTTATTTAAAAAAGTATTTATTTATCTTCAGTTCCCAAGCACTGCATCACAACAACTGCATCAATGAAATTCTCCCCAGTTTCAGAGAAGAAGGTTCATCAAAAGATTTTTCTCTTAACGTAGCCTCTCTGAAATGTCTCTGCATGATGTTCCATTGTCTATGATTAAACATTTATGGGACTGAAACACTCCATGTAGACTAAAACAGAGCAGTGATTTCCAACCAGTGGTACTCACATCTCAGGGGGTAACTCAGGACTCAACTATATTTGGAGCTAGCTAGCTAGCTAGCTGGATGGATGGATGGATGGATAGATAGATCGATAGATGGATACTTTATTGGTCCCGAGGGAAATGTAGTAAAAATATAAATATACAGAAATATACCTGCATACAGATTCTGTGATAAGGAAGAAAACATTCAAACACAAATAGGATTGTCAATGACCATGAGTTTGACAAACACACCACATAAGTGAGAATAAAAGTTAGGATAATCAATGTAGCAGGTGAGCTGCTGAAATAGTTGGAGATGGAATGAAATTAGTGAGCACCACCTCCATGAAGACTCAAACTGAGTAACGCTGAAAGCTGCGTTGTAGAAAACTCCCCAGTTTGCCCGCAGCTCGAGGTGGAGCTTGACCATGAGGCCGCAGGTAGCTCCAGCTCCTCAAATATTGACTTCCTTCCTCGCTGCCTGCCTGGTCAGGAGGTGTGTTTGTGTGCTTTGGAGCCAGAAAAGGTGTGTGGTGACAGAGGTAGGAAGGGGGGAGGTGGGGAGCATGTACATGTGGTTGTGCGAGTCTGTGTGTCCACATCCATCAAAATAAAGAGTTTGATGACTTTGGCCTGCCCTCATTGCACCATAATAGGATACATTAGGCCTAATTCACTTAGAGCCATTAGAGTGCATGAAAATTCCTCTACAGGAGTAAAAACACAGAAGCCCAATGAGCCTCTGTGCTGTAGTTTCACTACAAGTGACAGGATCCTAACTATTCTATTACTTTTCGTCAAATAGTTCTTGTGCACTTTGGAAAATCTAATTTCTCTGTAACATTCTTGTTGCTAAACCCAACACTTGGACTTTGACATTATCTTCTCAAACTGTAAGTCACTTTAAATCTGCTTTAAATGCCTCAAAGTTTAGATTTCATGTTTTTAAAGATGTGAAACTCTTTCTTTTGATAGTGAATTGTGTTAAACATGAGTACACACAAGGAATACATTCAAACAAATGACTGTCATCTCCAGAGTTAAAATATTTTTCAGCCATAAGAAAGTGTTTTAGCTCTTACATGACTTTATTCCACTTCAGTCAATAATCTCTGCATGATTTTAAAAGGAGTCTTGTGACCAATAATTTGACTTGGTTATGCAGGAGGAAATGGCTTTTGTGGCTTGAGAGTCACACCCATTGTGAGAAAGGCCCTGCTCTCTCGGCAGTGGTCTGCCAAGGTCAGTCTACAGGAAGCTGTTTTTTTTGTTAGTTTTTTTTTTACTGGGCAGGCATCCCAGGAAATGTGGCCTCACCTGGTTCAGGTTGGTCAAACTTTAGGCAACATCAAGTAACATGTGCCATTTAGCAGAAGCTTTTTTCCATACTACGGCCTAAAGAGGTCATTGAGACCTCAAATTACTGACCTCAAAATAACTGCAAATAGTCTGTAGGCCCCCATTAAGAAGAGTTTCAGAGTGGCTCTCAGGGACAGCTGAAGGTCCCTCATTAGGAAAACTCTAACCCCGAGGTCTGGAGGACCATATTTCCACTGGATGACCTGGACTTGTTGTCCATGTTGACAAGCATCTGCTCTGCCAACGCGCTCTCAAGTGAGAACCTGAATCCTTGTCAGCTGCAGGGGTGCTGCTCTGTCACTGACCTCTGACCTCTGAACTTCCTGAGTTTGTGGAAAAGCAATCAAAGTGTTTCCTTGTAGGGATCAATAAAACCAGCTGTATGACACAGTTTAATATCAGAGATACCAGGAACTTAAAGACTATG